ACATTACTATGGCAGTTTTGGAACATACCAGGGCTACACAACTACGTTTTGGCTTCAAATGTGTAGGCCATTATTAAGCAAATGAGCTACTGATGTACTTTACAAAGCTTGTATTTGCCCCTGTGGGCATAACACCAGGTGATGTCTTAATTAATGATGGTGAAGATCACATATATGACACAAACAAAAGAACTGCTTTTGAAAAATAAAGAAAAGAAAATATTCCCACTCCCCTGAGGAACAATAATGAGCTGGTTTCAGAAAGCAGGATAATGAAAACCAAAAGGGAAAACAGGGAGGAATGTGGCGTAAATAGTGAAGTTACCTGCACACGTCTCTCTCTGCAAATAGGTACGTGTTCTGTGGGGTATGCTGTACCCTGCACAGCACTGCATGTTGCTTATAGGATAACCTGCCACTCTTTATGTCTGCACTGAAGCATGCACATGTTAGCGGCACTGTGTTTGCATTATCCACTGTGATGCCCACTGAGCGCTGCCTGCTGAGGAGGATCCAGAGCTGCTGTCCCTGCCTGTGCTGTGCATTGCCTTATTTCTTGACCTTCTTTGCCACAGCGAGCCCTGCTGCCTGCAGAGGAGTTACCTGTGGGTAACTGACCCATGGAGGCAGCACGGGGTGGTGGGCTCTGACACATCTCTTCACACTGGCAGGGGAAAATGCAGCTGTTGGTGCCCTCCTCACCCGTACCCACCAGGTTATCCAAAGCAGTCATGGGATGGGAACAACACAGCGCTGTGTGCCAGCCAGGGACACTATCTCTGACTTCTGAAGCTTGAAGTGTATAGGGGGCGTGGGAGCTGCAGAAGGACCTGTGTCTCTTAATGTCACAACAAAGCAAAAGGGGCGAGGAAATGGGTGTTGGGGGGATTCATCTTGGAGAGGGGCCCTAAGGCAAGAGGGAGGGCTGAGAGCTAATATTGTCTTGTTCCATTCATTCCTGTGTCTAGAGCTAAGCAGGAAAAGAGTAATTCATCTCCATTTCCAGCCCCATCTCTGATTTTTCACCTTGGGAATCTGGACATCCTTAGCTCTGTAGGTTTAATTTGCTGAACTGACACGCACATATCCATCTTTCAGGTTGACCCTGGTTTAAACTCAACAGAAACAGAACTAAGAGTGGAAAATAAGCTCGTTGGCCATTGCAGGTCGTGACACTGAACCAGCTCAGGAGAAACAGCAGGTTAACACAGGTATGTGGGAGGTCTCCATCAACCCAAGGTGGTTCACAGCCAAATTGCAAAAGGGCAGGTGTGTGTCTGTGGACATGTGAGCACGGACATGCATGCACCACTGAAGAAGAGGTGATGAACACTTCTATAAAACCCTTCTTGCCTTGTTCAGGTTTCTGCACACACCAGTGTGAGGAAGCAGCCCTGGGAAGGGTGTACCTTCATCCTGGCAGGGCTTTGGGCTGGATCCTCCTGCCAGGGGAGGAAAGGAAGGAAACCTCCTGGGTGGGAACGGTGAAACCCCTCCGTGGAGGAGCTGCTCCTGGGAAGGGGCAGGATGGAGGCAGGAGGGCCTCCCTGCAGCTTGCTCTTCCCATGCCAGCCCTGCTCCATCTACTGGCAAGAAGAATGCGGAGCCTCCGAAATTCGCCCGCCGGGGTGCAGCTCCTCCTGCGGTTTCCCCAGACCAGGTTCCCCCCATGGTCTCCTTTCATCTGCCAGAAAGGACCAAGGGTGGGAAGAGCAGAGGGCGAACATCGCTTTCTCCCTGGTCACAGGACGAGGAGCTGCCCTCCCAGGAGCTTCCCTCTGCTTTGGTTTGCAGCGTGTCATCAGGGTCACAAAAGAGCACATTAAGTATTGTGCACACGCTGCATGTTTGCCATTTCGTCTGCCGATTGAGAAGCTGATTTCGCTGCTTACTTGTGGTCAGTCAAACCCCAGTGAAAATGCACTGCAAATTCCTTCCCAGAGCACAATGCTACCGGGGATGGGGTGGGACGGCAGCACCAGCTCCTGTCCCAGCAAGTGCCCAGGAAACCAAGGTGCAGCAGCAAAAGGTATTCATGGGAATCATCAGCACTTGGGCTCATGGTTTGATGCTCAGCGCTGTGCAAGTTTATTCCTTGTACACCCATTTTTCCCTTGCCCACTAGGTGTTGAAGAGAACTTGCTGGGGAAAGCTCTGGTCTTTCCAAAATATGGAAACCACACAGCAAGCTTTTGCCATGTATGTAGCTGAATGATATTGCAAACTTGCTCAGCTCTGTGCAAGGGGGTAGGCTGGGACCCCCCAGTGCTGTGCTGTGCAGGGGCTTTAAGAAATCTCCCCTGTGGAAAGAAATGGGATTTTTAGCTTTGGCACCGTTGGCACTAAATCGTTTTTCCTCTCGTCCTGCCTTCTGCTGTTGGGAAATCATCTGCACCTGGACTTTGCTTCTCTGGTCCGTATGGGAAACGCATCCTGTTCATCCTCCTGCGGTCCTTACAGATGGCATCTCTTCCAGCTCTGTGCTAGAGGTGATGGCGTGAGTGGGGTGGGCTGAGGTCCCCACGTCAGCCATTCCCTCAGGGAGGGAAGCAGGGCATCCAGTGTCAGGCCAGTGTTTACACAGAGTGCAGTCTCCAGTGGATTTCCCTACTCCAGTGAAACAATAGGAAGGTCTGGCGCTATATTATCCATGCTTCCTCTTTATTCAGATTTTATCTGTGAATTCTTGCAAATAATAGAGGACTGAGACCATTATTGTTCTGGGAAATAGGAAGATGAAAACATTAGAGAGACCTTAGCAATTTCAATGGACTTCTTCCTGGTGTATTTAGTTATGCAAGTCTTTGCAGAGTCAGGGACTACCAAAGTACTTGTTGGAGTCAGTAATAATTCTGTGCTCACAAAAGCAGTTCCTTTACAGCTCATTTATAATAAGCAATACTGCCTCAGTCAACCAAATGCTACAGAGTTCAGAACAAAAAAAGAAAATAAATGTAGCTCCACCCTTAATGAGACAGGATCTTAGGAAGTGATCCATCCCGGCTTTTCTATGTCTCTGCTTTTATACATTCTCAATGTAAATTGCATGCCAATGATTAATAGATTTTTGTATCAATTGAACTTGAACTGAAGTCAAAAGAACATACTCTTTTTTTCTTTTCTTCCTCTTTTCTAAACCCGCATTAAAAAAGATTATTCAGAAAAATTAGAATGAAAAGTGCCAGGTCAGAACTCACATATTTCTACCAAGTCTATGAAACCTTACTTTTAAGAGTCGCATACTGTAGAATCTTAATCATCCTGGAAGGCTTATTGAGGTTATGGACTAAGGCTGCCGTTCGTGTGGTGCCAGCTTGTTCTGGAAGTACAAGATGAGATGCAGCGCCTTGCCATGCAGCTAAACCCTTCCCTGGGCCAGGAGGACTCCAGCAGTAGTTTGGTGGCTTGGCTGGAGCGAAGACATCCTGCGGCCACCCACCAGCCCTGCGTGGTCTCAGCACCACAAGCCATGGCTTGTGTATGGGTCCAGGAGCACTGTGGGTCCTCTGCACTTCTGGCAGGACTCCTTGTGTGCCTCTGCATCACGTCCCGGGCTCTGGGACGTCTTCTTGGTGTGGGAACATCGCCATACAACTGCACAGAGCCAGCCGTGTGGTGCTGTGTGGAAGCTAAGAGGTCTTCCTGCGTACCACCTGTCTGGGTGGTACGACCTCCTGCATCACTCCTGTATTATTATTTTCCATTATCTAGGAAAACAACCCTTTCTTCTCCTCCTCTTTACCTCCGATAATGGAAAGCTGTTTGTATATCCATGAGCTTAATAACTACTGGTCTTGGAAGAGCTTTTCTGGCTGGTCGTGCATTAAAGTTATTCACATTTTTGATGCATGTGCAATTAATAAAACTTGGGCAAAACTTTAAAGCTTGGACTATACTCTGGACAGATTATAAGTTTTATGTATGCTCTCCACAAAGTATCATTAAAACTTGCTGTGCGCAAGGAGTAATTACTGAGAGGATATTTTGCTTTGAAAGGAGAGCATTCTCCCCTCTGCACAGCCCTCCTCTCGGAATAAGAAAAACAAATACTTTGATCCTACTCATGCAAATAGGGCCATGCTTCCAAAGGTTTTTTTTTGTGGGTCTCAGGGCATTTAGTGTTCCTATAGATCTCTCAAATTGAGGACAGCAGAGATTGTGTGAGAAAGTTCACTTCCAGTCTTCAAAAGAAATACCTAGCTTTGGAGAGAATTGCCTAAAAAAAGGCTCAGACACACACTAAAATAGAACATGCAGTTTAGGCTCACCTTGCACAAGTCTGTCAATTCAGGCAAAGGTAACTTGCGAGCTGAAAGCCCAAATGGTGCAAACAAATGCAGAATAAAGCAGCCTGAGTGTGAAATACATGTCCAGCACAGGGGAGGGGAGTTACGCAAGCGAGGCTTCTGTGCAGCAACTCCCACTGTGGATAAGCCCTTAATTACTTCTAAAATCTCACCATTACTAAGCCATGCTTATAATTTCTAGAGGCCTCGAGTTTCTGGAACAACTGGAGTATGAGATTCAATTGCATTCACTTCAGTGGAGGATACAGTTAAGTACGGGCACGTTTGAAGGCTTGAGGCCAGTCATTAACTAATTAGCGTATGGGAACGTTTGAGTTTCTCCCATCTGATTTTGCAAGTTATTTGGCAATACTTGCTTACGATCGTGTTTTCACTCCTTTTCCCCTTCCCTTCCCAGCAAACCAAAATCAAAAAAAAAAAAAAAGGTAGACAAACTTCCCATTTTCCCCTTACTGTAGACAAAAAATACTTGCTTTTGTGTGCATATGTGTATATATGTGTTTAAAATAAAGATATTTATAGGTGTCAGAGTGCCTGCTCCCTTTCCCCACGCAGCCACGCACCCAGCAAGGGCACGGAGCGAGGGGCACTGCACGCCCCAAGGAACTACAACCCCCACAGTGCGTGGCGAGGGGCATAAGAGGGGGGCAAGGGCTGGGAGGCACGGGGGCTTCTGGGAGTTGTAGTCCCGCGGGCCGTGCCCTGCCACCGCACCGGGGGCAGCTTTCCAAGCACCTGTCCGCTGGGTGCGAGGCAGGATGACTACGTGCTCCACCGCTCCCTTCGGGGTGGTGCAGTGCAGCTGCTGGCTCGCAGGCCGACCAGGAACCGCTGGAAGAGGCACGGGAGACACGTCAAGGTAAGGATCCCGCAGTGATTGCTGCGGAGTTGGAAGAGGAGGAGGGGGGCTGTAAATCCCGCTGCCCCGCCGGCTGTCCGGGCGGTGCGTTTTTTGGGCGGTGGGTTTTGCCATCTCGCCCTTGTGGCACGCCGTTGGGCGAGCCGGCTTTATTTGGGTTGGCTCGGGGGAGCGTTTGCAGTGCTAGCACGTGGGAGCCGCTGCACAGGGATGCCATTCTCCCCTGCAGCTGTGGTTGGAAGTGCGGCTGCTGGCTCCGCTGGGTGAAGGTTAGCGGGGATAAATATTCATTCAGCCTTAGAAGAAGGCGGGGGAAGAAATCCCACTCCCTACAGGGACTGGAGATCTAGTGAATAAGGGTCTTATGACATCCAACTTCTTGCTGAATTTAATCTTGCTTTTCTCATACCACTTTTTTTTTTTTTTTTCTCCCCTGTATTTTTCCTTTTTCTCCTTTTATCTTGACTTCCTATGTATAACTAGAAAGAAACAGCCAAACACAAATTTTGGGTAAGCGGCTGTGAGAGCATTTGCCTGTGCACATTTCCTTGTTCCAGCGTTCCTGCTGTTTGCTGCAGGGTGGCTGAGCAGTAGGCAACTGACATTCTCAGGCTGCGCAGATCACCACAGTCAGCAGGAGAAATTCCTGGAAACGCTTTGGTTTCATCCTGCCGCTCAGCGAAACAGAGCAGCGGTCAGGACAGTGCAGGGAGGAGAAGCAGCTTTGTGTACTTCACGTTTGAGGTAAAACGCTCCCGAGCATTTTGGTGGTGGTCCTATGACAGGTGGCTTCCTGGGGAACTGGTCCAGCCTTGCTGCTGGTCCTTACACCTGTGAGTAAATTTGCTTGAGAGTTTTGGGAAATCCTTGGCACGAGGATGCTCTGTGGGCCTTCCAGGGTTGAACATACATTGTGTGGACAGGGACTGGGCTCATAGCTCCTGCTTCTGGGGTCGCACAGCAGGCAGTGGGCATGATGTAGGAGCAGAGTGGATGTTTTTAGTTAAGGCTGCTGTTGCAAGACTTTTTAAATGAAGTGGAGACAGACAGGAGTTAGTCCTAGTGAAGATCCCTCCCAAAGGAAGATGCAAGAGGCAGCTCTCAGTTCTGCTGAGAACTGCGTTGCCCTTTTAATGGTAATAAAGAAGCCTTGCCATTAATCTCCACAGCTGCTGCCAAATGCTGAACAGGTCTGGATGATGAGGCAATTCCCCTCCTGCTCTGAGGTTGATGTGGAGGTATGGCTTTTGGGCGGGCTGGGCTCTGCCCCACGGGCTGCTGTGGTATGGAAAGGTAGAAAGCACACAGCTAACGAGCAGGTGCCCTTCATGAATCAAATGAGGGCAGAAACATTAAGCACAGTGCTCCTGAATGCTTACCCACAAGGAGGGGTTATACATCTAAAATGAGGATGCTGTAGCTAATGTCAGAGGGACTGGCAAGAAGTGCCAAACTGAAGTGCCATTACCTAAAATCCAGCTGCTGGAGTGGGGAGGGCTCCTGGATTTCTTCTCACTTGAAGGGTTTCATACACCTCACAGGCTTCTGGTGTACCCAATGTTCTCACTGTTTACAGTAACAGACACTGCTAATGTGTATGTAATAGAAAATACTCTGCTGGGGCAGTGGCACCGAACCTTAAAGCATCCCATACACATTCAAGAACCTTTCCCAAACGTGAGTAGCACTAATATCAAAACCATATGAGCCTACAGCCTCTTTGCATTTCGGGCATTTCCCTATGTGCTGACACCACCTGTGTCAACTTAACCTGGGTAACAAGGGCACTGCAGAACCAGCAGCTCTGTCTCCAGAGCAGAGGCATGGCCAGGGTGCCACCGAAACCCCGGGGCAGGGCAGCTGCTAGAGGAAGAGGAGGGTGATGGTAGTGGGTTATCCTGCTGCACTGAGCCCTGAGCAGTGGGTGCCTCTCCTGCCTCCCTTCTGGAGGTGAGGGTTACCCCATCAAAAAGCATGAACCCCCCCCAGCCCTACCTGCAATGTGTAAAACAGGCATGAATTTCCCTGTTGCATCTGTCGTCAGTGTGCTGCACAAAAAGCAATTGTGTCAGTTTTGTTTTCCTTTCCCGGTACATATCAGAAGTCAAACAGCGTGATGTGGCTAATGGTATTATATTGACCCACCTCTGTGGTTGCTATTAATATCTGAAGAAATTCCCAAATGTCACAGCCCCAATAATAGCACGGTTGCCTGCCCATCTTTCTCTTGCCAAACAGATTGGTGTCCTTTTATGTTACCAGGTCCTGTAATTGCTAGTCCAAATTTTGCTCCTTGCTTGTGTTAAGATGCTAGGGACCAAAAATATGTATTAGAGGACTGATATACTTGCAATTGGTAGTGAGGTGATTTGCAGTGTCATTTGAGTAGTATACAAATTGCCAATTCTTTTCAAAATAAGGAGTCTGAAGGGACTTGGGGGAGAGGTATCCTTTTCTTCTCACCGGCTGCAAAAATATAACCCACCCTTAAAAAAAAAAAAAGGCATTCAGAATCCAGCCATAGTGCACAGGCTACTAAATTTCAATTGCTGTTTTTATGTCATTATTGCAATTGTAGTGACTCTGTAAAAGACAAGACAAAAGGTTGCTCTTTTCACTTTGAGCTCTTTCCATCCTCCACTTTTACAGCAAAGGTTACCCTGAGCAATGTGTACATATGTCTGTTCTAAGTGTAGAAATACATATTATTCATACCTTGTCAATGTATATGCTGGAAAACAGAAGCTGAATTTATAGCTATATTTCCTCTCTGCCGGGGCTTTTAGAGTTGAGTGTTTCAGTGTTTCCATTATAAACCCCTGTTTTCTGAGGTTTATAACAGTCTTGAAGAGCATAGCGGTCTTGAACCATAATAGAAAACATGTAATGTTGCATTTACAATACAGCTGTAACTGCACATTAAGGAGTGTAATCTTCTCAGTGTACCCACAATGCTCCAATAAGGTTAATTGGAGTTACATATACTAAGAGAAAAACAATATTTTACCCTTAGAGTTGGTGCTCTCCACCCTGAGAGCTGCGAGCACCACACAAGGGCAGTGCCTCTACCTCTGCCAGACTTACAGCCGCATCATTCCTGGCTGTGACGTGAAAACCCCATGTGCACTGCAAGGCCCCAGGAGCACCCACCTCCCTCCTGTGATGCCTCACTACTTCACAGACTTGCCTTGGAAATCAAGGCAAAGATGACCAGCAGATATTGTACCTCATTGAAAGTGTGGCGAGGCCTTCATCTTGTATGTCTCTGCTGTTTCTGCCCTCAGCTTTTAGTCTTGCATAAATACAGGTCCCTCCTGAAACCCCGGGCATTTCTCCATTTCCAGCCAGCTTACTCCATCTGCCATCTTGCGTTCGTGTGTCACTCTGCTTACTAGGGTAAGGTAAATAAACTGAAGTTCATCATAACATCCCATTGCCCCTGGCCTAATTAGTCCAGCTCCTTTGCAGGGCACCTGGGTGGTTGCTGTTGGTAGCCTGAACTACCACGGGCAGAGCTGGGCCTCCAGGAGGTGCCCCACACCACTGGGGTATCTGCATGGGGCTTTTACTTCAGCAAAAAGCGTCTCACGGTATTATTTGCACGCAGCAATTCCTGCATACCTGGGACAGGGAGGTAGCTGCTCGTGCGTGTCTGACAGGTCTGACTCTCAGAGCTAGCACCTTGCTTAAATTTGGCTGATAGCTACAGGGCTCTGCTGGGCCCAATGTCCCACCGTGCCAGTTCGGTTGCTTTGTGAGGTGACCGTGAGCGCTGGGTGAGGGGGCAACGTTGGCAGGTAGCGGTGGTCTGACTTAAAATGAACACTTCAAAAATGGATAGTGAGAGAGAAGAGCTGAAGTTAAAAGTGGACAGTTGCCAGGGCTGCTGGCCGTGTTCATACTAGAGCCGATTTATCATTGCAATTGCTCGCTTGAGCTTGTTGGACTTAATTGGCTGAAGTAAAGAAAGCAGCAGCATGTTCAGAATAGAAAGAAACTTCTAAGAATTGCTAAAAAAAAAAAACAAACAAAAAAAAACAACCACATAACCCTTGGAGCTTGAAGACTTTGTTAGGCTCTTTGGTGAATACAAAGCTGTCCTCTCAGATTGTCACAGGGCCATGGTTTTTCCAGTTTGAACCTTAGCTTTGATCAGCAGCCAGTAAAAAGACAACGTATGATGGCTAAAAGGTGTTTTCCATGTTCTTTTTTTTTTTTTTTTTTTTTTTTTTGTGGTATTACAGTGAAACTGAGAAGAATACCTATGTCCTTTCTGCATTAGGCCAGCCACAGTTTAAGTCCAGGCTTATCTGCCAGCTGGTAGAAGGCAGCAGAAGGTAGGAAGGAGGTAGGAGGCTGGGCTCACTGTGAACCTTATGCTCAAATCCTGTCTGTGCATCAGTATGAGGGAGCAAGTTAGCATGAGCATCAACAGGGTTGAAATCTTAGTGAGACTAAATTCTTCTTGCTGTTTCAACTCACATGTCACCTTACTTAGTCTTCCACTTAACCTCTCTTCCCATGGCTAACAGGTCAGCTTATTGGGTTCATGCCCTTTTGGAAGTACTGCTAACCTCAAGCATTCAGAAATCACAAATTCACTCTTAGATTCATGAGACTGCAGGAAAATCGTGCATTTTTTAATTGAGCAATTAAAATAGCTTAATTAGTATTTTAGTCCCGATACTTTGAATTTCACAGCTTTGGAACATCGTTTTCCTTGCTGTGAGGGCTTGACCCTTTTTGCCCCCAGTAAAACCTGTATTTGCCACAATTGCACAAATGAAGAACTAGTGCTCTAGCAAAGCCAAAAACAATAAAAACACCAGCTTAGCCAAGAGTTGCAGGAAGAACTGAAAATCTGGAAATGCTGGTTTTGTTGTTGTGCAAGTTTGTTTTTCACTTTTTTTTTCTTCACCTTTTTTTTTTTTTTTTTTTTTTTTTTTACTTTTGCCCCCTCACCAGTTATGCATGCGTGTGTTACAACATATCTGCTGAGAATGAGTGGGAGGGAGCTGAAGGGAGTTCTGATTTGGTGAATTAGTGTACAAGAGGCCAGCAGAAAGGCCTGCAGTAAAAAAAAAAAAAGCAAAGAATGGGAGGATACAAAAGGCTGAACTAGAGTAAAAACATCTGTATCTTACATTTGCCCTTCTGTAGTATTTAAGGGGCTGCGATTTGTATGTTAGTTGTTTGTGCTCCCTTCATATGGGTAAGAAGGCCTTTGGGAATATTGGGCATGATCTACCAAGAATCATTCATCATGTGATGCATGAATTTAGGTAGAAAATATCCCCTGGATATGGGGCAAAAGTCAAAGCTTTTCAATGTTCTTTATATTGCTTTATTATTATTGCCAAACACAATCTTCTTGCCACAGCTCTGTGTGTTCCAGTGTATCATACCTTTTGTGTTATCAGGGCCATCTGAAAATAATCTGACAGGATTGTTCACACCACAGTTATTGGTATTTTGAAATTTTTACCATGGGGAACATCTTCAAAAGCAAGAGAGGCAACAGGACAGCAAGCTCCCTCTGCCTGTCTACAAAAGCCAGAGCAGAATTACCAAACCCTGCAGCGGGTGTTCTGCTGGAGAAGTTCCTGTTCCCCATGAACAGCTGTTTTTGCAGCCTGCAGGAGAGGCTCTGTGGATACTGCTAAAGAGATGCTGAAGAACTGGGGTTGTCCTTAGTGATTGCTTTGAACTGTCAGGCTGAGTCTGTTTGCAGTTGCTTAGTTGTATTTCCTTTCTACAGGTGGATGTAGACTAATAGCTTCTGGGCTTCTTGAAGTTTGAAAACCATTACGGTGGCAATAGCATTAGTCTGACTTGCTTGATTTGACCTTTCTTTTTCCTTTGTGCCAGTTTACCTCCTCTTCTGCGGTGAGACTAGCTGGTGGTAGTGCCTGAATTGTAATGCCTGGCCTTTTTTTGTTATGTTCATATCGTCTAATCCATTGTACATTCTTTTGCTCTTTCATTTTGCTTTCTTATTCATCTCAGAGGGTTAATTGCATCCAATCACTCTGATGTTAGACAGTGAGAGATAATGCACACAGGCAGAGCTGATACTGTCTGCAGTTCCCAGCTGGGACTTGATTCTACCACTCTTAGTCAGCTTGAAGGCCTTAACCCATGGGAATACTCTCTGTTCACATTTGTGGGGCTTCTTCTACAAGCACATGCTATTTGAAAAAATAGTGGCAGACCTAGGGTGAAGAATGGTTGCTTTCCTCATCTGAGATTCAGGTTTTTGAGACTTTTGATACATTCCCCTTTTTGTTATTTTGAGCTCTGACAAGGTATTGATAAAGGCGCACTATTAGTGAATGTATTCTTTTAAATAAAAGAAAGTCATTGTGCCTGTCATTATCTTTTCACCTGTTCCAGGCCTTAGTACCGAGCCTGCCAATTCCCTGAGGCCACTCATAGGTCTTAATCATCCTGAGTGGCTTTACCTGAGGCCCCCCCACCAACCCCATCACCCCCTGCACAGGAGCCCCACTGAAATTCAGACCTGGGGGTTCAGCTCTTCCTAAGGCCAGCTAGAGGTATGCTCGTTTGCAGCCATCCTTTCTGTGTGGACCGTGGCCCTACAGCAAAGAAAGCCTGTCTCCAGCCCTGTCCCCTAGATTGGGCAACTGTAGCAACCCCCTTTCTAGTCCTTTTTGCTCCTGACTGGACCCCTGCGTGGCCCCCAAGTCCTGGCTCAGCCCTTGGTGTGCTGGGGTCATTGGTGTGCTGGGGCCCTTGGTGGGCCTCCCTGCTGTGTTCAGCTTTCTGGGGCTGCACCCATCGGTACGGGCTGGTCGAGGTGGAGGTTGTCCTCTGCTCCCCTCCTGTCTCCTAAACTCTGGTGCTTTAGAGAGAGATAGTGAGCAACACAAGCACCCAGATGACTTGTCCTTTTCCCAAGCAGAACACAGGGCAGATGGTGGCGGTGGTCCCCCTGCAGCAGCCCTGGGACAGCACTCTCAGACCTGCCTCTTCACAGCTGCTGTTCTTCCCCTAGTCCATGCTATTTGTTTTTGCACTCTCTTTCCTTCTGTTAGGATGACTAGAAGGATGCGACGGCCGGGATTTCTCCAGCTGGCAATTCAGGAGCCAGGTTGTGCAGAGCAGTGCAACGTTGAGGCTAATTGCCTCCAAAGCTGCTGTCCCCTTTTAAGGAGGCTGCATGTAATCTTTCTCTAAAGAAATCTCTTTGTATCCTATTGAAAGGATTCCGTAATAAAATTATTGAACTGCAAACTGGAGAGGTAAGGTGGGGGATGTAGTAGCTACAGAGCACATTGAGCTCTCAAAGTGTTTCCATTAATTGGAGAAAACCAGTGTTCTGTATCTTCCTATCTGCAAAGCACAGAAAAGGACTGGGCTTTGTATATTTTGGTGTCGATTCCACGGGCTAGTGGGTGAAAGAGAACTTGATAAGCACGATTTAGTTAATTAAATTATAGAACACAGTGCTTCTGTTAAGTTTTTCACATTCTTTCGATCCGTGGTTCAGCACTAAAACGCAGCTTGGAGAATTCAAGCCTTGAGTTTGCTATCTGAAGTAGCTTTTCAGTCGTAGAAAGTTAGACATTTTTCTTGGTGTTTAAAAACCGAACTTCATACAAGGAATTATAGCTTACTGATTCTTATCACGATATTGTTACGAAGGCAAACTTAATGTGGCTTTGTGCTACTACAAGACTAGTCTAGGCAGGGTGCTTTGGCTTTTGCTATCAGCGTGGAACTATTGATTCATGAACATAAATCCTTACTTATCTGCAGTCAACTTTATAGGGTAATGAAATTATAGGATTGCTTGAATCAATCAATGTTTCTAAAGCAAACTATAGAAATATAAACAAGTTAGAGATTATTTAATAATGTCAATTTGCTTAGAAATGCTTGGACATGGGCAGCAGATGTTACATTAATTTCTGCTTTCTCTGAAATTTCACTGGGGCTGCAAGACCTTAATGTCACTATTAGCAAAGGTAACTTTATTTTAGAAACTCATTCCAAACTCTCACAGCAAGAGGAAGAAACTGTCATTCCTTTTGACCACAAAATCTGTGCTATTTCTAAGTGGAGTTCTTTGAAATAACTAGGATATCTCACAGCTTGTTGCTTTAGAGAGGACTTAGTGCAGTGGCACTACATTTAGTTAGCATAATGAGTTTTTTAGCCCCTGTGATATTGACTGAGTTTGAAGTACCAAAACTTTTAGTCGTCTAAGCTTAAATTTGTTAGTAAAGTGCAAGGTTGCATTTCAGCTTTCCTAGAATTTTAAGTTGGGTTCCTGTTTTCTGAGAAGCAGTTAAGTTAACATAGCCAGGTTCTGACTTTGGGAAACAATTTAAGTATAAAAGTCTGTCTTTATGTTTCTCGGTAGGAAGCGTCATGAAAGTGGCTTCCTCAGCGTGGTTTCACACTTGCAGTGTAGGCCTTTTGGAGATCCAGTTCATTGGAGCGATTTTATTCAAGGTGGTTCAAGAATCTTCCATGAGTCCGCAGGTGTCCTTTCAGTGCTCTTGTCTTTTTTGAATGCAGAGCAGGATCTTTATAAGTGGACTCTGATGCCTCGGTGGTCTGTCCATTGAGTAGTTTGTCATCGTTTCTCATGTGGGAGGTTAAGACCACCTGATTAATCTGCTTGGTCAGTCCTTAAGCCTGGATAGCAATAATGGAGTCATACAAGCCAGATGTAAATCCCTCTGCTCTAACACATTAATATTCTCAGTACTTTGGCTATTAAGGTCATTTTAAATATATACAAAAAACGCTGAGAAATGTACCTTTGATCTTTTTGATTGGTCTACCTTAAAAAAGGTTAAGAATTCATTTTTGCTTTGGAAAGGTTTTTGTCTTTAAATTAATATCATATATACTTATACAGTTTTGTACATGGGCTTTGTTAAAGCTTATATGTAAACTGGTCTCTGATTAATCTCATGTTTTTTAAGCTGTTCTGTGGTATTTCATTTGCAGTATTTTGTGGCTAAGCTGTCTGTGTAACAGACTTCCTTGATCTGAGGACTATGCGACAAATTTCTGTAGAGAGAAACTGCTATAAAATTTAAGCTTAACACCTTTCTGGACTTCCTTCATCTATGGTAAAGTTGGTGTGGTTCAGCCTTAATTAGACTATTATAGACCTAAAACAGATGAAGTAGAATAGCATGAGAGGATTTGAATTTGGTCGTTAGCAAGAGCTCGTGGTTAGTCTAGCTGGTTAGCCATTAGCCTGTGAAATAAATGAAAGTACATTTTCCATTTGATATGCTTTGAAGACTGGTCAAAATCCTTAACATGATTTAGGTCTTCTGAGAAGGCCTATAATCCTGCTTTTTTAATAAGCTCTATATTTCTTGTCTGAGTGATAATTTGTTTACGTCAAGCATTGCTGAGGCTCACTGCCATGCCTGTATTAATTTTGAAGTTGAAATGCATTGTTTTGGAAGAGCATTTATAAAAATTATTCCTGGAATTAGAATGGACAGGAATTTAATGTATGAATGCTTACTGGAAAACCTGGGTTTTCTAGATGCTTTTTTTTTTTCCTTTATCAGTTGAGGAGCACTTCAGCTGCTCATACTTTGAATGCACTAATGCACTTCCCTTTTTAATATTTACTGCTGTGAACATGTGTGCAAGCTGAAGTTCAATCCTGAACAGCCAGAGCTGCTTCTGTCTTGTAGGACTGACTTTCACTGGGGAGCTCCAAGTCTGCGGTTATGGCAGTGCTGGGGAAGAAAGGATGGATGGGTATCTTGAGCATAAGTTTGCCTTGAATGAGGTGAAAATCCATGGACTTTCATTGCTGCAGACGAGAAGAGCTCTGATGACACCACATCAAGGAGCTGTGAACCTTGGTCGATATTATCTCGAAAGAAGCCATGTGAAAGCAAATGCAGATAGTGCTGCTGACTCATAGGAGATGGACAGGAAAAGACTACTTCCACTTCTGCTTATCTCTGGCTTCCTTCAGCATGCGGTTAGTGAGGACTTCGTGTGTGTCTCCGTAGTTCCTTAATATCCTTATAATCAGCCTGCTCAATGTGTCTCCATAAAAACAGCTGGGAGGTTGGTGAAAAATATTTGTGCTATTAGCTCGTTAATAAGAATGGCATTTCTTATGTAAATGACCTGTAAAGAAAGAGGGGACACTGGAAGTAGGACTGATAGATAGTCTGTTTTTATTGCTGCCTACATCCCTGATTCGTTTCCCCTGTCCCGCTAAGTATTTTATGGATTTTTCTGACTCTCTATGCAGCTGAAGTACTTAACTATGGGATGGTAACTGCAAACATGTGGGTCTGCAGTGACGAGTATTCCAGGTAGGTTTTGGAAATAATGCTAAATGCCACCGTTCTTAATGGCTAGAGGTGCCGTGTTAAAATCCTCTAGTAAGAAACAGGTGCTGAGGATTAAAAATAAACCCCAAACATCAACAGCAGTAAATGACAATGGTTGTTGATGGGTGCTTGATTATGTGTTCTCTTCCAAACTGGATGCTGATGTGAGAGCCTGGTTTCTTTCACAATGTGTGTGTTTAAGAATTGCTCATCCCACCTACCTCCCAGTGTGACTGGGACAAGTCTCCAGTGTAATTCTTAAAAAAATAAGCAAGGTCTGTACTTGGCTCTGTGTTTGCTGAACTTAATAGGAATTCAACCACAGTCTTGAATAGGAGAGTATCAGTCTTCTGTATGCAGATAAATATGACCTTTAATTAAAAAGCCAAGTAAATGAAAGCACAGTGAAACGGGAATATTATTTTTTAGCTTCTACATTTGTGGTGGTTGGTTTTCTTTCTTTTTTTCTTTTTTTTTTTTTTTTTGAAGAGACTTTAATGCATATAGTTATTTGACTTTTAAAAATTATTTTCTTTCTTAAAGTCCCACAGGATCAGTTGCTGGTTGGGATTGGCCTGTGCCCACTGATTAATTCCTTGCGTCACTGGTCTTGAATCTTGTTGCAAATGTTCTTGGAGAACTTGGCAGCCGCAAACTGGCAGAGCTGTTATTGACCCAGAATAGCAATAGCAATGTTAATACAGTAAGCAAGGTTTTCTGTGATTTGCTGTGCTATTCTGTGGAGCTGACGAGCTGGTTACCACCTTTTACTTATTCTGCAAGGATCTGAGGCTGGAAGAGAATTAATGCAGTTGTGAAGCCCAGAGAACCAAAATAGCAGTGATTCAGTTAGAGTAGAGCCAAATCTTCTTAAAATTAAACTCCATTGTGTTAGAGACTTTACTTTTTTGATACCTATATTATTAACTTCTCTGATAAGAGCAGGAAATGTAATACAGTGATATTGGAGGAGCCTTGCACATTAAATCTAAGCTATTATCTTGGGGTTGTATGAGAAGAAACTGCTCTTCATCTGGTGTGTTATGGGAATCAGATGTTGCAGACTGTTTTTCAAGGTTACCATGTAATTCACAAACCTAGGTTTTTGGAGTAGTTTTAGTTTCCTTAACTTTCAAACAGGCTGTACGGAATATGTGGGAAGGCTGCAGTGCATATATGGGTATTTATATCTTCGTAAGTAACAAACAATATACTGCGTAGTTTCACGGAATTTTGTCATGGGCAAGTGTTTACCCCAAGCTGCAGCAGTTCATGTTGCAATCTGGAATATTTTTTATACTGGTATTAACTTTGTGCGTGACAGGCTGATGGTCTTCTCTCATAGACCTGCTTCAATGTCTATGTTTATGTTAACCTTGATACTAGAGACACTCTGGTTACTCCTGTACTGTATCTCCAGAGAGGCTGGTTAATGGTACCTCCAAAGGAGGCACAGCATTGAGCCAGGAAAATGTGCTGTAGTACCTGTGAACCTGAGAGGAGCTGGTCAAACAGTGCTGCACGTGTGAATCGACTGGTGCGGCTGACCTGACTTACATGCCCGGTGCTGCAGTTGGGTTTTGTGCTCATTACTTTCTCTTTCTATATGAGTCTTGTAGTAGTAGCATTGGAAGAGCTTTTCCCTAGTTCCTCCTTTTAGTTGTGAAAATTTAAAGTTTATTGTCTTCCGTTTTTTTAAAGTATAACGAGTTTGGAGATTTAGCGCTAATGAAATTGTCTATTGCAGAAATGCTCTGGTTTTGCTACTTCACAGAATGCCACTCTTTGTATCCTTTGGGCACCACTGACAAGTCTTATATTCTTCTTCCGCAATCTGTATCATGGTCACGCTCTCCTCCCCTCTTTCTTTTTCCCCACATTTTCCCCAGTCTCCCACACTTGATGTCTAAGAACCTATTTGACCGCACTGATGTCTTAAGCAGTGGATATGTAAATATTTACTGGCATGACGGTCAGCAAGAGGGAGGGGGGGAATTACTACGTATTACCCATTCAGTAAACCTTCAAGTTTTCTCTCTGAGTGTGCAGTCGATGAGAACAGGAAAGGTTTGCAGTTGGTGCTTGACTTGATGTATTTCTCTCTCTTGGTTCCTGTTTTTGTTGCAGATGTCATTCATATAGCTGTGGAAGGCTTTATCAGCTCTTGAGGAGACCTTCCCCTGCACACACACACTCATACCACTCAAGGCTGGCACTGTAGCAGAGGAAGATGGAGCTCGTAGATCTCCTGGCATTCTCCTCCACAGAAATGAACAGTACAACGCTCACTCTGGCTTTGCTGGCGGTCTTCGTGGTTCTGCTGTACTGGTAAGTGATAACAGTGATATGGGCCGTGCGTCACACACAAAGCCTGCCGAAGTTCCCCCAGCATCTACGGAGTCCTTCTATTCTCAAGGTGAAATTGGATGATAATTGGCTGGAAGGGATGTGGAGGGTGAGGAGGTTTGGGAGCAGAGGTTGAAATGAATGCTCACAAAAATCATGTTGCTTTTTAGAGAGTTCTGTCTCCTTGCAATGTTCTGCCTTAAGTGTTTTACAAACAAACTTGCTAACAAAAGTTGTCATCAAAATTAAGAACTTACTACTGTTGGTTTCTTGTTAATTTCTTCAGGCAGCAGGAGCATTGGTGCTGGTCAGAAAGAAACAGTACTCGTTGCAAGGTCTCGTTGGACTCTTTGTACTATGCTGCACAGTTGTCACTTGCCAGTTTTCTTGGCTTAGGTTTATAGGCACTTTAACTGCTGCTTGAATTTCTTCTCTTGTTCTTTCCACACTGAGTAATAGATACAAATCAGAATAACAGCAGCCCTACTGGTAGGCACAGTAAGCATGCTGAAATGGGGAGGGAAGAATACTGCCCTGTCCAGATAATTTATTTTGGAAATTAAATTGGCTGATCTGGGAATGCTTTTCTGTCTGGTTTTACTTGAATGCCTTTTCAAATCCTGCTTTCCAGTCAGGAGAAAAAAAATATATATTTTTTTTCCTCATTTGCATGTGTGTTTGAGAAAAGGTTTTAGGGAGAGTGGCAGGAAAAGAACCTCATAATAAAACCCAAAGCTAAACTCAAAGAAAATAATGGTGGCACCATGAGTTCAGCACAATTGTTGTAGCAGTGTAAGTGGTGGATCAGTTCTGTTCATGTTTCTTTATTCTTTGATCCTGTCAAACTTTGTTCAGCTTGTGCGTTAAGGGAGAGTCTAGAGAGATTAAAAAAGAGTCAAGTCAAGCCTCTATTTGATGTGCATTGCCATATCAGGTAGGTAGATGAGCCTGCTTTCTTAATAAGATCTGCTCAAAACTCTGGCTCAAATAATCACAAAAGTCAGTTACACTGACTTTGAACTTTATTTGGGGAAAAAAAATGGCAAGGGTACATCTTTCATTAAATCCACACTGTTTAACTGCTGACCTGTGGATGTGTGTAAGCTTAAAGTGGTGGGAGAGAGGCCAGAGGCAGAGGCACAGTTCAGAAATGCAGCACATGGGCTGGTGAGCTCTGGCAGCCTGTGAGGTGGCTGGGAGAGCCTGATGCTCCTCAGTAGTAAATGTCAAGATGTGCCGAGGTCTGTGAAGAAACAGAACTGTTCTGTGCAAATGTACTGTGTGTTCTGGTGTACGCTTCTCCAGAGCCTCGCTTTAGGGCTCATTTTTAGGACGGCTGTTCTTCCTACTGGAATGAAGACATGGGAGCTCTGTGCAGAATCTGGTCTTGACATAAACAAAGCTGGATCTAATGGCAGACTGAAATCAAACTTAACCAGACTCCTGGCTGTGGACAGTCAACTGCTGAATTGAGTATGTGCCATATAATTTGCAGAAAGTCCAATTTAGGAGTGAGGTGGGAAGTTGCCTTACAGTAGAAATATGTCATTCAGAGTTTCTCCTTTCCTGGCTGAAGACGAGTTCTGTGAAGGTATCAAGTAAAGGAAGCTAGAGTTTTATGAGGAGAATTTTTTTATACCTTTACCTGTCAGTGGTTATTGCTAACTGATCTTATTGATCTGCAGGTGCAAGTTGGTTTTAGGATACTTTATTAAATACGGCTGCCTTTAGGCCACTCTTCCAATGAGAAGCTGGCATTGCTTCTTAAACTTGTAGTGAAGCATCTTGGGCAACATACCTGGGCTTATTGGTAGGTTTGCCTGGTTAACCAAGCTATTCAGATCCATTTATTTCAGTAAAATGCAATGACTGAACACATAAAGTTAGTGGCTTGAAGCATATCTACAAGCATAGTGCTTGTTTTTCAAACCTGTCAGTCTATTCATATAAGATTCTATTTTGTATAAAACTTGTTTTATATTGCAGCTCTATTTAAGCGAATGAGTTAAAACCAACTCATGCGCATAGCCTCCTTTGTTCTCAGCTGAAACCTTGGGTTCAAGGAATTATTTAAAGAGTATGTAAGGGGTTGCTAATAGAAAGGCAGGTCCCTTATTCTAGAAATTTTTCTTATTACAATCATATTGCATGCAGAATTGTGTGTCTCTTCTAGGAGTTAGAGAACACAAGTGTTACCTATGTCAGAAGTAGTAATAAAGTAATAACTGCTCAAGTTCCTTATTCTAAGCCTTACTCTCATATTTTAATAACTTCTGAATCCCTCTTTTTTTTTTCCTTGCCTTTTTCTGCCAGCATTGTGACTTTTCAGAAAGGGAAGGGAGGAATTAATATTTGCTGTTGTAAAGTTTGTTATGAGAGTAACTTCTGATTGATCAGGGTTTTGTGTCTAATGTTTTGTAAGTACAAAGACAAGGCAATTTGTCCACCTTTTTTTGCTTTAAAAGGCTTACAGGCTAAACAAAAGGCAGTTGTAGGTAGAAAAGTGAGTTGTTACAATTCTAGTGTGCGTTAGATTTACCATGGTGTTGTCAACTGCCATGTTATTGAGCTATTTCCTTAGCATGATTTTTGTGGATGGGTGGTACTCTGTGGTTCAAATGACACCCTTGAGTTGCTGCCCATCAGCTAAGCCTCTGTAGCTGCTAGTGTGTGCATTGTAAGGCCAGCTGTGATTTATCACAGTTCAGCTGACAGGTGATATCTTGCTAAGTTGTGATAAGACCAATCTCTTCACATTTCTGCGTAAGGTGAGGTCATATGAAATGGGGGGAGAAGCAAGGGTTGGTTGGGAAAGGGAGGAGAGGCTGTAGCGGTTTAAAAATAAACTTCTGGAGAAGATACAGGTCTTGAGAGGAAACCTGGATGCTTAGGTCATTCCTTAGACTGTTTTTTATGGTACAATTCATATTATCAATGATTCTTTTTAAAATATCCTCTAATTGCACACCTGATTTCTTACATACCATCAGCAGTGAAATATGAACATGATTCTGGTAGTGTATTGTGTCAGCCTGAATTCGGTGACTGTAAGCTGTGTTTATCCTCCATATGGCCTTAAATCTGCTATAGGGAGAGGCTTTTTAAGTCAGCCGATCTAATTTTGGGAGTGGAGAGAACAGAAGCTTTTGGGTACACAATCTCTTTGGATTTAGAACAGGGTGAGCAAACATGAAGCTGCTTTTTCTGTCTTCTGTTAATGTAACTAATGTGCTCAGGTCTGCCTGCTGCCCTCCACTTATGAAGGACTTAGTTGTCCACTTCCCTCCTCATATTTACTACTTGCTATCCATGGCTCCAAGTCTTTTCCTGTAGATCTCATACCATGGATTCTTCAATGGCAGTTGCCACTTCCTTACTATTGTGGTAGACAATGAAATTTTACTGCTTTACTGAGAACAAAAAGGTGGTATATGGCTGAGTACATAAAGCCTGGTAATACCAGAGACACAACACTGAGTGCTCTTAAAAACAAACTAAAAATCAAACTAAAACAAAAACAACAACAAAAAACCCTCATGTGTATGTTGTTCCCACCCTCTATGATATCTACTAACCAAAGTGATTATTGGATCAGTTTCTTCTAAAAGCAATTCCTTTCTCAATTCCAAGGACTGCTCTCTCTATTTGTTTAATCTCTGAATCTCAGGGTTCTTTTTCAGGCACTGAAATAAAAACAAACACTTAAGGTAGGAATGGGGTTAACATTTACAAATCCTAATGATATTAGACCAATTGACTGTATCCACTGTACTGAAAAGTACAGAGGTATATTTTTGCAACATACTGTTCATTTTCCTTTCAAGTGTATGCTGAGTTGGGTATCCCATGCTTAGTTGTAGCTGCAAACATTGTTTTGTGCCTTTCTTTTTGCTGTCTGGGGAGATGTTTGATAAAATGAAAGCAGGAGTTTATCTTGCTTTAAAGTTTAATGTACCATAAGCTTAGCATTATGAAGAAGCTGTCACAGCATTCAGATACCTGTGTTCAAACTGGATTATCAAGCCCTTGTCTAAACAAACCTGTTTTTTTTCAAAAACTTGGAGGTTGGATGGGAGGTGTTTGTTTATGTTTGTAAGATACACGTCTAATTGCATGCTTTCAAACATAGCAAAATATATACCATTAATGTCCTTGTCTGTTTCTGAAAAGCTAAATTGTTCAGAAAGATGCCATTTTTACATTGAAGTAATTTTATGATCACTTGTGTAACAGAAATACTTAGACAGTGAGAGACTTGGGTTGCCCTGGGTCGAGACACTGTCCATGCACTGCATAACAAGTCAATCCTGACCCAAAGCAGTTTGCTGCCACTGATCAACAAGAATGAAAACTAAGCCTTCTTTTTTAAATCTGTCCTTAAGCCTGGACATTTGCATACACTTAAATGCAGCTGATACTTGCACATGGGAGAGAATGGGTTAGAGTTAACTGGCTGATACTGTATCTGTAGTAGGCCACTTTAGAAGTTCCAAGTTAATTTCAGGACAGTAGTATCTTGATACAGGTGACTTCAACGCTATTGCTTGTTTGGCATTACTTCACATCTGTGGTTTGGGAAAGCACTATGAAAGAGAAAGCTTAGGTATATCTGTCTCCAAATAAAACTCTGCTCAGGTTTTGCAGAACCTTGTTGTTTGGGCTTGAGTTAGGCAAAACTGAGATCAAATACATCTCTATGCTTATGCTGTGATTATGGTTTGAGTGCAAGCCTAGGCTGAGGAGGTCATTCTCTCTGGCACATCCTTATATAGCTTCCAGACAGATCCATCATCAGGCTGTACAAAACCTGGATCCGTTCAGAAAGAAGCAGCGGTTGTGGGTGGGTATGCCCAGACTATTCCAGCTCTCTCTAAAGCCATCAAAGGCACAGTGCTATAAGGTCCGCTGTGTCTGAAAACCGAAGCCTGGATATGGAGCACCAACACACACCCGTAATGATGTATTGCTCTGCTCTCATGTCA